GATTCAAGCGCATTGCATTTATTGTGCAGTGGGACCTCTCTGCTAATGATAATCTGCATTTGCAGCCGCTCCCCAGCGCTAGCATCACCGCCTCAGCTCCAGATCATCAGGCATCAGATTCTCACAAGGAGCTCGCAGCCTAGATCCCTCGCATGCGCGGTTTCCAGTAGCATTTGCCTCGCGCCTATGAGAGCCCAGTGCTGCGGCTGATCTGACAGGAGGCGGAGCTCATGTGGTGATGCGAGGCGTGGGGAGCGGCTGTAAATACAGATGAAGCTTCGCTCCCTCTCCTGCCCGCTCACCTCCTGCTGTGCGGCCGGTCCCACAGGCCACAGACTGGTACCTGTCTGAGGCCCAGGGTTTGGGGACCACAGACCTAGCCTATGAGGACCAGCCACTGACTCCCTGCACTGTGGGGGCTTCTTGAGGGCAAAGACAGGGTGTCCTTCCTCTCTGTGTCCTCGGGGCCCAGTGCCAGGGTTCGATGTGCCGTCTGGCTCTTTGTCGCCACGCCATATGCTGCATGCACACCTGTGCAGGTAGGCATCCTTCCCAAGCCCCTGAATGACCCTGCCTGTAACACCCTGTTTCTGTCCCCTCCTGCGTGCCTGCCTGAAGGGTCCTGAAGCCCCAGTGGGCTCAGGCAGCTACAGGCGGAGCCGACCTTGAGGGTAGAGCTGTGTTGCTGGCCCTGGATGGAGGGAGGGAGGCAGGTAGGGCAAACTCTCCATCTGGGCACCACCACGGTGGTCCCAGGGGTTTGCACCCTTTCTGTGACCTCCCAAGGTGGCATCCCTTGGGCTCCCACTGGGGTGACCCTGGGCAGGTGCCCAGAAGGAGGAGAGAGTCTGGGGCAGGGCAGAGGGTCCCATCACATTAACAGCCCCAGCCTCCAGGGTCCCTCTGCTGGGGACCAGGTGCTGGCATTGTTGGGTCTGCCCTGGCCTCCTCCCCCAGCCAGATGGGGGTTTTTGCCCATGCTGGGGTGAGGCAGGGAGGGGGGAGGCAGGAAAGGGGCAGGGGGAGCTTTCACTCACCAGAGAGGCATGGTTACCCATTAGACCTCTGATTTTACATCTACAGGGTTTTTTCCTTATTACAAAGTAAAATACAGTTGATAAGTACATGAAAAGATGCCCAACATCATTAGTCATTAGGGAAATGCAAATTAAAACCACAATGAGCCATCATTTCACGCCCACTAGAATGGCTATAATAAATAAGACAGACAATGACACGTGTAAGGGAGGGTGTGGAGAGGCAGGGACCTTCACACGTCACCGGGGGGAATGCAAACTGGCGCAGCCACTGGGGAAAACTGTTTGGAAGTTTCTCAACAAATGAAACATAAAACTACCATGCAACCCAGCAAGTCCACCCCTAAGTGTCTTCTGCTCAAAAGGAGTGAAAACAAATGTCTGCACAGAGTGAACATTCATAGCAGAGTTGTTCCTAATAGCTCCAAACTGGAAACAAACCAAATGCCCTTCAACTGGTGAAGGGACAGATGAAACATGGTCTGTCCATACCATGAAATATTACTCAGCAGCTAAAGGGACCAGACCACTGACCCACGCTGCAGCACGTGAACCTCTAAGACATTATGCTAAGTAAAAGTGCCAGACCCAAGAGACCACATATTGTGTGATTCCATTTATGTGAAATGCCCAGAATGGGCAAATACACAGAGATAGGAAGCAGATTAGTGACCGCCTGTGGCTGGAGGCGGTGGGGACAGGGCTTAGCAGTAAATAGGCATGAAGGATCTTCTGCCTTCATGGGAGAAGAACGTTCTAAAGCTGATTTATGGTGATGATTGCACTGCTTGGTAAAGTTACTAAAAATCATTGGGTTGTATACTTGAAATGTGTGAATTTTATGATATGTAAAATATGTCTCAATAAAATTGTTTAAAAAGATAAAATGCATATTCATAATAAAAATGCAAACATCACACAACCATGTGCTAACCAACATGTTGTTGGGTACTTACTGTATGCTGGGCGCCATAACTTAGAAGGTGGTTGCATTAATAGGCAGTTGTATTAAAGTAGTTCAATTAATTCCTATTTTACGGATAGTGAGTCTGAGCTGCAGAGTGGTTAAGTGACTGGCCTAAGGCCAGTGGAACAGGCCAGCCAACTTGGTGGGTCTGCCTGGTGGCCCAGTATTGCCACTGGCCAGCAGAGAGACTCTGGCAAGATATTTGATCATTGTCTGCCTCCATTTCCTCCTCTGTAAAGTGGGGATGACACTGACCTCAGACAGTGGTGAGGGTTAGATGAGGTGGTGGAAGGAGAGGTTGCAGAATATAGAGGTGCCCCATGCCGCTCCGCTGCCAGGCACAGCGAGATTGTCCTTTGCTGTCCCCTGCTGCCAGGAGCCCTCAAAGTATTGAAACTGCACTCTAATCTGTAGGGGAGAAATGGGACCAGGGGTAGAGGGTAGGATTCCCCCTTTCCTATCTCTGGGACTCCGGGTTACTTTTTGTCTGCTGGGCCCAGGGCCTCATTGGATCCATCCCAAACCCAGTTCCTTCAGCCTCTTGGGCTGATCTTGCTCCCACAGGGGTCTATAGAAAGCAGGACTATTGCTCCCAACACCTCACGCTCTCTCTGTGTATTAGGATTACACAATCATGACCTTTGCCACATGGCTTTGCAGTGCCTCCCAGCAGAACAGGCAGAGTGTCCATTCTCACTTGATCTGGGATCGGGCCCTGTGGCCTGCTTCAGCCAGGGAAAAGTTAACAGTCATGATGCAAGCAGAGCTTTAAAGGTCCTTGTGTTTTTTGCCTGGCCTCCTGGGCATCCAACATTCATCATGAGAAAGGCAAGTGTGAAGCAGACTTGAACCTGACCTAAAGCCTAGAGCCAAAGCCAGCTAATCCCAGAAGAGCCTAACGCAGACACAGACTCAAGAATAAAAAGTAAATACTTGTTATTTGCCATTGAGTTTGGGGGTTATTTGTTACACAGCTTCATGGTAGCAATCGCCGACTAGTACATGGCTCAAAACCATCCCTTTCAGCACAAGGTTCTTGTGCTTGCTCTCTCCCCTCTCTAGGATCTTCTGCATCCAAAATAACTTCTTCTTATTCAACAACCATGAACACAAAACTAAAACTTGCACAATTTCCAACTTATGCTAAGGATGAGACCAGTTTAGCAGTTCCACAACCAACACACTCTGATTTCTGTTTTGGGCTTGGCTGTTCTACAAAATAACAGCAATAGCTATTCTTTGGGACTCTCTGACACAAAGAGCCCTTCCCCAGCCACGATCGTCACTGATGTTCACAAGCCGCCTCATGAGGCAGGTGTTACCACCTCCATCTTGCAGAGTGGGAAACTGAGATGACTTCGTCAGGGTTCCAGGGTGGCGCCTTGCAGGGTCTCTGAGAAGTGATGGATGCTGCTTCCTCTCCATTAAGTCATGTGTCCTAAGCGTGCACTCTCCTCAATTCCATCTCAGCTCTCTCTCTGTCACCCACCCAGGTCCTTGAGGGAGCCATGTCTTAGCTCTTGTGTCCTTTCTGTGCTGCAGGCAGACGAGCCTTGCTCTTCTTGCCTTTAGGTTTCTCCTGCTCACTTCCATGGCTTCCCAAAATGTTCTCTCTCCTGGGAATGTCCTTCTTCCCCATTTCCATATGTCCCTATCCTACTCATTCTTTTTTTTTTTTTTTAAAGAATTGGGGTAAAATATACGTACCATAAAACCTGCCATCTTAACCATGTGTAAGTGTACAATTCAGTAGTGTTAAGAACAGCCACACTGTTGTGCAACCCGTCTCCAGAACTCTTTTCATTTTGCAAAACTGAACCTCTGTCCACATTAAAGAACAACTCATTCTCCCCTCCCCCAGTCCCTGGCAACCTCCATTTTACTTTCTGTTCCCATAAATTTGAGTACTCTAGGTACCTCATAGAAATAGCACGGTATTTGCCTTTCTGTGATTGGCTATTTTGCTTAGCCAATCCAGGTTCACCCATGTTGCAGTATGTGTCAGATTTCCCTTCCTTTTCAAGGCTGAATAATATTCCATCGTATGTATTTACCACATTTTATTTAGCCATTCATCCATCTATGGGTGTTTGGGTTGCTTCCACATTTTGGCTATTGTGAAGGATACTGCTATGAATGTGGGTATACAGATATCTTTTTGAGACCCTGTTTTCAATTCGTTGGGGTATATACCCAGAAGTGGAATGGCTAGATGTGTGGCATTCTATTATTATTATTTTTTTTTAGGAATTGCTACACTGTTTTTCATAACAGGTGCACCATTTTACATCACCACCAACAGCGCACAAATAGCCCACTTCCTTGCCAACGCTTTTTATTTTCTATTTTGTTTTGTTTTGTTTTAGTTTTTTGGTGCTTTTTAAAAATAGTAACTATCCTAACAGGTCATTGTGGTCTTGATTTGCATTTTCCTAATAAATCCTACGTATTCTTCAAAGCCCAGTCCAGATGTTACCTCCTCCAAATGGTTTTCCCATATCATCCTGTCCCATACACTTCCTCTAAGACTGTGCTATTGCTCTTTCTTTCTGTCTCCTTCTTTTTCTTCTCTTTCCCCATCTTCTCCCTTGTCCTTCTCCCTGCCACTCCTGGCTCTATCTCCTCCTTTTGCTTCTAGTGTCTGTGGTTTGAATCACTTTAAACACCCTGATGACTTACATTTCCACTGGAGTCATCCTTGACTATGTCTCCCCCCACCAGACTGTGTGCCCGGGAAGGAGAGGGACCTTAACCGAGTCACCTCTGGGTCCCCAGAATCCGAGAGACTCTTGGGTGGGTTCAAAGGGTATTGTCAGTGGCTGGGCAAATGATGGGTGATGCGTGGATGGTTAGTAGGAGAAGGAGGCAGGGACGAGTGGGCGGATGGACAGGTAGGTGAATAAGAAGGATGGGAGATACAAGTGTGAATGACAACAGCATGTCTGGTTTCTCTCTGCCAAATTCTTGGACCAAAAACGCTCTCCTGCCACTTCCAGACACTGAGAGACATCATGACTCTACCCGTGGGATCTCCGAAGACAAATCCGCCCAGGAGCTCCCCGACTTCCTGTCGAACCTTCAAACCGGCCTCTGTTCCTCTTATTCATCGCCCTGCTCAGTGTCTCAAGCGAGGGGGCGAAGAATGGATGAAACGCAGCCAGCGCCCTGCTTGCCCAGCGGCACAGCCGGGCGAGAGCTTGGTCCACCGCGAGGAAGGAGCGCTTGGTCCCTACACCCGCGTGCGACTGTGGCCACACTCGGGGGCTACAGGGACCCAGAGGGGACTTTCCTCGTTGAGGTGAAGACGCCCATCAGGTAAGAGTGGCTCCCGCCTTACAGACCCTCCCTTTTGCCCCCATTCGTCTCCTTTGCTTCGTCTTCCCTTCCTCCCGCTCCTGCCCATCTTTATGTCACTCTTCCTCCCCTCTGTGTGGCTTGGCGGAAACCCAGGGCCGTGGATTTAGACCGACGTGAATTCTCAGGCAGCTGTGTCTTCAATCAAGTTGCTGCACCTCTCCAAGCCCCGGTTTCCCCATCTGTAAGATGGCGCTAACAGTTCCCAACCATGCGGGTTGTTTTGTGAATTAAATGCCATAATGTGTTCAAATGACCCGGCAGCTATTGTTTTTAATCAACACTATTGTCATCACCAGCGTCTCTTACACTTACAAAATATTGCCGTGCCTAGAAAAGGAAAGAGCTGCTACTCCCGTCATGACACACTCTAAATGTGCACCTGCTGCGTTCCTTCTGCCTTTCCGGGAGTCTCTCTTCTTCATCATTTTATTTTATTTTATTTTATTATTTTATTTTATTTTATTTTGAGACAGAGTCTCACTCTGTTGCCTGGGCTAGAGTGCCGTGACATCAGCTTAGCTCACAGCAACCTCCAACTCCTGGGCTCAAGCGATCCTCCTGCCTCAGCCTCCCAAGTAGCTGGGACTACAGGCATGCGCCACCATGCCCGGCTAATATTTTCTATATATTTTTAGTTGTCCAATTAATTTCTTTCTATTTTTTAGTAGGGGGGGGGTGTCTTGCTCTTGCTCAGGCTGGTCTGGAACTCCTGACCTTGGGAGATCCGCCTGCCTCTGCCTCCCAAATTGCTAGGATAACAGGCGTGAGCCACCGCGCCCGGCTTAATTGAACTTTTAACCTTTGGCAAGTGTCTTTTAAATAAAATATGAGGCCAGAGGCCATGGCGGTATCATGAAAAATAAATAAATAAATAAACAAACAAACAAACAAATAAATAAATGAATGCAGCCTGTCAGCTTCTAAATGCTTGACATCCCTTCCCTCAACCGCTGCCCGTTGCGGCTGTGGGAGCGCCGGGGTCCGTCCTTCCGAGTCAGTGAGCTGCGGGCGTGTCGTTTGTGTCTGTGGCTTCGGTGCGGGGACAGGGCCTGGCGCGGAGGGGCGTCCGCAGGACCTGTGGAACACGAAAGGTGTGGCCGTGGGGCGGCAGCACAGGGGCGGGCACCCCCCCATGTCCCTTCAGCCTGTCCCCAAGGCCCCTGCAGACAGTTGCCTGCAAGCTGGGGGCTCCCTGTGCCTCCCCCCAGCGGCGCCGTCTGGCCACGCCCCCCACCCGTGCTGCCGGCCGGAAGTGCTGGAGAGTTTCCGCCCTAGCCGAGGTGCTCGGCGAGGACAGGAGGGACAGGTGGGTAAGCGCCCGGCTTCCCTACCCCTCGGCTGGACATTTCCGAGGCGTGTTCCATGCAGTCTCCTGCGGGCCCTCGGTGGGATTAAGCCCCGGTTGCCCACAGTGGTCACCCCGTTTGTCAGCTGTGTTCCTCTCCCAGTCTCGCTTCTCTACTCTCTCACCGCGTTTATGGGACCATCTCCCAAACAAACAAATTTGAACCCAAATCATTGTCCTGAACAATCTAAACTAAGACAGGTGATATGAAAATTTTGTTTTTCAGCCAATGAATCACTCAGTGGAGGAAAGTTCATTTGCTGGAGTGGTTACGAATCAACCGCTTGTTCTAGGGGACGAAAGTAGTGATGGTGTTTTATCCCAGCATATACAGTCTCCGCACACGCTCTAAATGCACTAGGACTTTTCTGTATATAAGATATCGAAACCAGCCTGACTCCAGATTATAAAGTACATTTCAAGTAAATAACACAAGGTGACCTGAAACAGTCAAATGAAGTGTTTTCAACAAGCAGTGGCAGGAGGACCTGTGTGGGTGGATACACACACTGTGTCACCAGAGAATGGCCGGGAAAGGCAAGGCCTGTAGTTAGATCAGCCTGGCTCTATCCCAGCTCTGCACCTATCAGTGGGGCCTTGGGCAAAGACATTGTACCTCTCTGAGCCTCAGGATCCCCATCTATTCAGAAAGGATGTAAATAATCCCAACTTCACCCGGCTGCTGGGATAATCAGAGCAGATCATGGAAAGGTGCAAAGCAGGATTTCTGCATCCGTTGCTATGATTACTGAATGTCAAAGTGATAAAGTAGAGCACACTGGTTAAGAAAGTGGGCTTTGGAATCAAACAGATGAGCTCAAATCTGGGTTGATCACTCACTAGTTGGGTGACTGATGAGAAGTCACTTAGTCTATCTGAACCTCAGTCTCTTGGTCTATGAAATAAAGATAATTAATTGCTCTATTCAATGGATCTCAAACATTTGGTTTCTGGACCCCTTTACACTCTTAAAAATTATCATAGGTCAAAGAGCTTTCATTCATGTTGCTTATATTTATTGATATTTACTATACTAACAACAAAACTAAAATTTTTAAAATAGGTATTAATTTATTGAAAACAATTCATTGCCTGTTAACCTAAAAAGTATAACTTTTATAACAGTATTTTCAAAAGCAAACTTTAAGTGAGAAATGTGGTATTGTTTTACATTTTTGCAAATCTCTCTAACGTTTGACTTAATAGAAGAAACTCGTTTCTCATGTTTGCTTTGGCATTCAGTCTGTTGTGATAAGTTGTTTTGATTGAAGTGTATGAAAAAGTCTGGTCTCGTGCAACTATGTAGTTGGAAAAGGGAGGAGCATTTTAATAGCTTTTAACAATAATTATGGACATTATTCTTTGATACTACACCAAAACTTGATAAGTAGTACTCTTTCCAAGGTTAGTTGCAATGTAGATTCCAAATCATATCTGTGAACTTTTCATAGTGTTTCATGAAACCTATTGGTCTACTTTGCACTTTGAATGGATCTCTTACATATGCATGATTTTGTAACATCATGCATTGTCATCTGGAAAATATTAGTTAACTGAATTATGCAGGTTTTCCCAATATTGATGTATCTCAATATATAATATCAAAAGAAAATCACACTTGACATCTTATTAGTCTTTAAGTATAAGGAAACTATCAAACTCAGTTTTCACTTGAAAGCTCAAATTTTATTGTTGGCAACAAATACCAGCAGTTGTTTCCCTTAAAGTAACAGACTCACTTCTTTCACTTTTGAGAAAATGTCTGCCAAATACCCAAGTCTGATTAACCCAAATGTGTTGGTTAGTCATTCTTTCAAGTACAAATGGTGTTCTGTGAAAGAAGTAGGTAGTCCTGCTAGAACCTAAATAATCACACAAATGCTTTCCTTAAGACAACCGTTGTATTGAAATTTGCAGCAGAAGGACTTTATGTGCATTTCTCATTTTTTCAAACAGAGTATTAAAAAGACATGTACTCAACGGTTGAGATTTAATAATATTAGTAATGTTAACCGATTCGTCAGGGACTCCTTTTTTAACTGTAGAGTTACAAGTGTGTGATGTGAAGGCTACGCTGATTGTTGGTACGGTTTGGTGCCACTGCCTTGATTTATTCACCATCATTTGTGCACCGTCGGTGCAAATGTCAGTGAAAAAAGCCAATAACTTCGAAGCATCATTATGAAAATATTTGGCTTATGAAGCCAATCTCCTGCAGCTGGGAGCCCCTAACTCTGGGGCTGTTTGACTCCCAGAGCCTATGGGAGTCACTGATCAGATAGAGATCCACATTGTTGGAGCTGGACAATGTCTGAGTCCTAATCTGAGTCTGAGAGAGATACTTTGACAAATATGATCTCAGCCTCAATCTGATGGTATATTCTTCAGTCTTCTCCCAGTTCTGCCCTCTTACCACCATGACAGTCCACACAGGAGGGGGGGTGTTGCGATCGTGTCCAACAGCATTGCCTGTGCTATGCTTTCAATAGGTTAAAAGTCAAATAAGTAAAAATTACCTTTTCAATAAGTTAAACATAAGCACCTGAACTTTACGTATCAACGAGGCCGGTTTCCATCAGAGGGATACCTATAGCGGCAATGTTTTAAATCAGACGGAGTGGCAGAAAGTAAAGGAACCACAGGGAATCCGTATACAAATTTCTGGCCATTCGAAGCTTTTGTGAACACTGGGAACGTGCTTCTTACCTGAGTTCATTTCCAATTCTGCTGTGTTGTTAAATCTCATTATTACCAGTGTTTCTCGACTCCTTCCTTCCCTCCTTCTTTCTTTTGCGCAGACATTGCTCAGAAAGTCGGGTGGCATATTAGGCCTTCACGTGTCATTACGAATATGTTTAATCAGATTGCTTTCCCAACATCCAAGACAGCCTGTCTCAATGAGAGTAAAGGAATTTTTCTGGAGGGTAAGGGAGAAATAAGAAGTTGTTTTAGAGTCTTGGGCCACCGAGAGAGAGTCAGTCTGGTGGATGCTTTAGGCACTGGAGAGATAGCAGGGCTGGTGTGGGAGCTGAGGAGTGGCCAGGCAGAGGGTGGGGTAGCCCAAAAGGGTGGGGGTAAGATCTCAAAGACACGCTTGGCTGAATTCTGTGAATTACTAGAGGTCAGCTTCTTAATTAGTCTTGGAGCTCAAAGCCACGCTATGTCATTCCTTCGTTTTGCCCCTCCCGGGACAGGCTTGCCTTCTGGGCCAAGGCCCATCAGTGACTCACTGCGCAGGGCGTTCATTCAACAAAAAAAATTTCTTCAGAACCTCTTCTGTTTCAGGCTCTGAATTGGATGCCAGGGATACAGACATGTCTTAGTCTCTCTTCCTGCCCTTAGTGAGCGCTTGGTCTTGTAGGAGAACCAGATCATCAGTTTGAACTCACTGTGGTAAGGTTTGTGACCAAGGAATGTCCAAGAGGCTGTGAACCCAAACTTAGTTATTCTGTTCCAGAGAGGGGCTAATATTAGAGTAGGGTCATAAAGGATGAATAGGAGTTTGACAGGCAGAGAAAGGTCTTACTAGGCAAAAGCACGTGCAAAAATATATGGGGGTACGAAAGAAGGCAGCTTACTCAGGGAGAATGAGAAATTATAAGATCACTGGTGA